ACCATTTTTGCTTAAAGATCAGGCTGCAACATGATTAAGAACAAGGTATTAGATATCCTCATTCTGATTAACTTAATTGAGAAACAAATCCTCAATGCCATTGCAATCAAATATTAACAGAATATAAACAAATGCACCAGGTTTTGGAAAGTATTAGACGATCTTCCACCCTATAGATCCCAATATATATCTTTCCCTGCTTGCTAGCTCCAAAATAATCTATTTGTCCAACCAAGTACACAGTGCAAGAACAAATCTCATCATTGTTTTATATGGACATATGCAAGTAATATTTGTAGTTGTGTGAATATGCAAATCCTAGGTTTGAATCTGCAGAATAGCCTCTATTTTCTTTTCTGGGGAGTTTTACAATTCTTATTTTATATTCTATGGTATAAAATTTTTTAAGTAAAACTGACCTCATTATCCCCACCTAATTTAATGCTGTTAAGTGTGCCATTGGAATCAGAAGTCAGCTCTAAATAGGGAAATTTGCTAACTCTTCTGTCCCATGCATTTATTACGCCATTCATATCTGAAGCAAGAAGCTTATTGTAGCAGATCATCAAGATAGAAAAAAAAGGGATGAGAAACTCAATAAAGATAAAGACTCTCAAATGAATACAGAGCAATAAGAAAACAGGGATTATAATTTATTAGAGTTTCCACTTCTTCACTGATCCATAAGTTATCCATTTCCCTAGCATCTGTTATATTTCTTACAATTTTCAGATAACAAGTTCCAAGACCTCATCTTCTGATTATTAGCTAATTTTTTCTCAAATATTATCTTTCCCTATTTATGCATTAGGTGCGTCAAATTCAAAAGGTTTCGTCGCTACATCTTTTGATTAGCATATGGATGTTCTCATAACAATTAAAATTTATTACAAAGTACTGTATAATCTAGTGTTGGAATTTCTTACTGGACATTTCCTTTCCATTTTCGAGGTTTACTTTTAATTCTTCTTTTGGGTTCGTTTATTATCTTTCTCAAAATTCTAACATTTTTATTGTACAATATGTATTGCAATTAATTCTAGAAGAAAAGATCTGCAGAAAATAGTGAAATTCTCCACGTAAATAAAAAATTTCAGCAAGGGATGCCGTTGTTACAGACCTTGAATTGTCATCAGGAAACAAACTACGTCGGATAAACCTTTGTAAACAGAACAACCATGAACAGTGATAGTATGTCTCTTTCTGCTTCACCTGCATGAAAAATGAAAGAAAAATTGTAACATAAAAAATTAGAAAATATTATATCTTACTAATAGCAGATTTTATAATGGTTAAAAATAAGAGGTCAAAGTTGTCGATACAGTTTAGTGATACTGTTGTTGAATTAAAATCACATGTGAGTCTTCTGTCATGATTCTTTGATCTAAGAGACTTGTATAGATCTTTTGTAGATTTTATCCATGTTCTTTTCTTTCAGACCCAATACACAAACTATTCAACCCATCAACAGACTGACCATGCTACTAAGAGTTCCCGTAAAGATTTCTGATAGTAGGAATAATCCCAAAACAAATTAACCTTTGTGAGTTATATTCATGCTAGTATACATTCATGATAAACACGTATTCTGGTCATGTTTGATTGACAGTACCTACAAAGTAGTTAGCCGTGCTGTACTGTACCACTTAAATTCTTTTCAGACAATCATGTCCCTGGACACCCTTCAGCAACTCAATACAAAGATGTGCGAGTTTTATTGTTTTAATAAATGTTACTAATGCAGTTCTAACACAAGAGCTATACAATGAGTGAGCCTGTCAAGGGGGACTTACCTTGTACTACTCCTCTATATAAATTAAAATAAACAAAAAGTAAAAGCAAAAGTAGAGATCCATAATCATCTATGATAGGCCATACTTTTACACAGATGAACTATTGAAGGCAAGATTTTCTATTTCTCTACAGTTAATAGATATAAAGATTTTAAAACATTACCTGAAGAAATTTCAATTATCTAATGTCGAAAGCTCCTATTTCTGATTCTGAATTTGATCTTCAGCCTGCATTTCAAGCAACTTCACAATAAAATCATAAAAACACTAATACTACATAGCCGTATTTCACCAAACTGCATCAATTTAACGTCTTACTTCTTAAATATACGAATCCCCATTTCAAAGAGGATTTTTTTTTCTATAAAAGTTAACATCTAGAAATTTTACCTGCTTAGGTTGACCATTTTTACCACTAATAATAGTCACGATGATGTGCCGAGTTTTAGTTCCATTTTCATCCACTATCGATGCTTCCATTTTCTACAACGTATCGAATGCCAATAGTAAGATGGAAGATAAAAGTTAAAAACAGCATAAAATAAATTCCTCTGAAGCTCAAAAATGAACATTTTCCACCTTATCTTCCTTCATCTTCATTTCGTTGATTTCTTCAGGAAGTTTATCCACAAGTATCACCTCATATTTTGTCTTTCAGTGCCTGAAAGCACCACAGCATCTGAAGCCATATTCCAGAAAAAAATCAAAATACACTTCAAATTGATCTGAAATCTAAAAAACAAAGGTGAAATACAGCATCAACTTCCAGAACCTTGACAACAAAAATAAATTAGAAGTTTATCCACAACTATCGCGTCGTATTTCATCTTTTCAGTGCCTGAAGGCACCACAGCAGTCGAAGCCATATTCCAGAAAAAAATCTCAAAATATACTTCAAATTGATCCGAAACCTAAAAAAATTACAGCCCGAAATACAGCATCAACTTCCAGAACCTAAAACAATACCCAAATGAAAATTAACAGCTTCAACAGCTTGTGCAAATCATTTTTTGGCAGCATCCACTAGAATAGATTGTTGATCCAGATCTTGTAGAAATTCCAGCGCTTCATCATGGTCGCACTCTTTTGTACACAAGATGATTCTCAATGAAGATCCAATATGAAACAAGTCGGGACAATGCTTTCAAAAGATGTTGTCCTAAATGATACCTTTAATGGAGCTGGGAGTCTACAGACCACAGACTTCGCGGAGATCGGACGGTAGTTTGCATATATCGTCATCTTCCCAACTAAGCAGAGGGAAATAATCAGCAAATCCTTTATTGGAAAAAAAAAAAAAAAAGACCAAACTAAGACTTGAAAGAGAGACAGAGAGAGAGAGAGAGAGAGAGAGAGAGAGAGAGAGAGAGAGGGAAGAAAAAAGACTTTATATATACATTAAGCAAAAATAAATGGTTCATGGACGAGAGAAAAAACATCCAAGATGACAAACGCAACCAGCAGAACAGACTATTGTCTTTAATTACACACCAAATGACTAGAGATATTTTATAATAACTCCATGAAATTAGCAAGGCCTGTTCAAAGAATATATCCAAATTCATCTCAATCAACTTTCATTTTGCAACACCCAATACACCTTCGGGCTTCGACACAGTCGGAGATTTAGCAGGCTCGGCGGTTTTAGCCTCTTTTCTAGGTTTGAGTTCGGGTGGTGGCAGCATCATGTGAGGAGGGGTTTTGTGTTTTGAGTTTGACAAGTGCTTGACGCATCCTGGAAAGATCAGTAGGCTTGCCAGGCTTGGGGCCTTGAATCACGACAAATCAACAATGGAAGTTTGCTTTTCTTTACCCTTTTTACCTTTCTTCTCAATGGCACGGAACTTCATTTGGTATAAGTTCAGCAATTGATTTCCAGTAGGTTTTTTTGGCCTCTGCATGGAATTTTTCTCTGCTTTCCAAAGCCAACTGCAGAAGACCAAGTTGAATTACAAATTTAGCTTCAATAAACATGCACCTTGCTCCTATAAGTCTCTCTGCATCCATTTGAATTTTTAGATAAAGTGGTTCAACATGTCATAAGAAAAATTAAACACTTGAATCTAACTCCGATCACCTTTATCCTTTTTATAAATTATAAACATTCTCCGTGTGTCAAGCCATTGACAAAAAACGAATCAGGCATGCACATGAAGGTTGTGTTGAAGATTGTTTAATCCCGATTATTTTTAAAATACATTTTTCTCCCTGATCCTTTCAACCCATACATTTTTCAATAAAATAATATGACACGCAAAATTCAAAAAAAATTCTTATTTTTTAGCCATACATTCTTTATCAATCTACTATTTCAAAATACATTTTTAGACAAAAAAAAAGGAGGCTCAAACGAGTGCTAAGTGTACAATATTAAATGTGTTTCATTTCTTAAGCTTGAGCTTTAGACTTGATGAGGTGGTTCAATACTTGCTAAGAGATGGATGTTTTGTCGTACTAAAAATAAATAAGATAAAAATGACAATCAATGTCTACAAGCGGGGGTGGAGTTGATTTATCACGAGTTACATGGTTAGGACATATTTTTCGTAAGCACAAAAAAGTTCATATTCACAAAAGTGAAACTGTCTTGCTAGAACATGGGTAGATCAAAACTAAGATGACTAGTAGTAGTTGCTATGGGTCTAATTATTTTGCATCTTTCAGTACATAGTGCAAGTTGCAATGAATCAATCAGATTTACGAAAAAGGATTAAGGTAGTCGACTCCAAAATTAATTAGTAACATATCTTCATTTCATGTGCCGAATCTAAGGTCAATTTGACAGTACTTTTACTTCTTGTAGAAAAGAAACATGAAAAAAAGCTACCTTAGATCAGTTTTCCTGTTATAATCAAATATAGATTTTTCAGAAAATTATCCAAAGATGTTCAATAATAGTTCCTTAAACTTAGAGTCAACCATGACTTTTCAAAAGTCATGCCAAACTCGCATACTTAATCAATATAGTGAAAAGATTTTATGGATTCAATAATCGATCATTGAAGATTTCTTTAATTTATAAATCTAACCTTATCCTTCTCCCTGTTGGAAGCTCTGCTGTTCTCACATCTGATCTTCCATTTCTTATACTCTGCAATGTATTCATCAGCTTCATCAATTATTTCTTTCAACATCTCCTTCTCCATCTTCTCTTTCTCCTCCAGTCGAATTGCATTTTGCCTGCAGATTTTAGCACAAAGATTTCTCAAGAATTCTACAAATCATCCAATAAATTCAACATATACTATTTGTAAAGGCAGGGACAATCAACATACACGCATGCAAAGGATGTTTCGAAGTCACCTTCCCCACTCTCGATGAGCGAAGCCTTCCTCCGGCAGCATATCCACCGTTGGTGGTAAAATTGTACAGTTTTCTTTGCTGTCCGACAACTTAGCTTCACCGGCCATATCTTCGGCACCGTATGGCAAGTCCTCCTCGAGACTTCGTTCCCTCGTCAACGATGACAGCTTTGAGGACATCCCCAATGTGCACCAAAACACCATTTTGCAGCAAATTTTCATTTTGCAGCAAATTTTGGTGCAAAGTCAATAAAATGAGCATGAAATTTTTCACCATTTTGTACCAAAATGATTAAGTACAATTTTGCTCTTCACTTTCACTTCGTAAAAAAATTATTTAAGGGTACTTGTTTTATTTTTATTATACATTTTGTAATACAATAAATTATTATTATTATTCTAATCATTGTAATAAATTTTAATAATGTAATTAGTAATAGTTAAGGAATTAATTAAAATAAGAATACTAAATGTAACAAACACGATTATGTAAAGTTAACATGAAATCAATGATAAATAAGCTCACATTGTATTTCGAAATGCATTAATTGATCATTTGTGGGATGAATATACGAATTTCGAAAATTAAATTGAAATACTATTTCGACTTCGTAAGATCATGATATCGGAATTTGAAATGCATTGTACTAAATTTTAATGACATAGTTTAATATTTTCTTATTTGTTGCGTTTCTATTAATTGTACTATATTTTTAAATATTTTTAATGAATTTAATATTTTCTCTAATTTAATATAAATAAATTTCCCTAATTTAATATATTTATTTATTTAGTAATTTATGTAGTTGTAAAATAAATAAATAAATTTTCAAATAAATAAATTGTTAAGAATAAAAAAAAAGAAAATGATTAAATATTGTTCATTTGATGTAATAGATATGAGATGATGTTTAGTTTAATGCAAAATGATGCAAAATTGACATCAAATTTTGGTGCAGCGTTGGAGATGACCTATACGTAGCCGAGGAGATTTTGTGCAGCGTTGGAGATGGTCTATACATAGCCGAAGAGCTTACTCGTCTTCCAACGAATCTCTTTCTCTCTCCCACCTCTGATGATTGATCTATTTTTTCTGATACAAGAAATCAATCGCCATAAGCAAAGTTAGTTTTAGTTACCTGCATTGAATTCGATTAATTAAGATGACGTGTCAAATTATAATTGCTTGAATATTCAATTAATTAAGTAACTACAAATAATATAGTGAGAGCCAAGGTGCAGTGTAAGGATTCTAATTATTATTTATTAGATTTTTTGTTTTTCAAATCGCCAGTGCATGTGAAATTTATTTATTAGTGTGGTTTAAGTAGTTCTGGTGGTAAGAATTGTTAAATTCAACATCTTTGACGTCGAATGAAAATGGACATTTAGAGGTCTTACCGTATTTGAAGGAGATCAAAGGATGATCGAGGATTTTGATTGATCCTTTAGAAAGTAAATGAAATATTGAAATGTTGTAATTAGAGAGAAATGGAGTATTTAGGTTGGAAGAGATGATTGTATGTATGTGGGGAAGGAGCTGTTAACGGGGGGGTTATAATTCTGAAGTGAAAGAGGGAAGGTTCCGTGCGCCACGGAGACTCCACTCTGTGGTGCACGGAGAGGACTTCACTCTGTGGCGCACGGAGTGATTAAAGTCTCCGTGCGCCACGGGGTGAAGTCTCTGTGGCGCACGGAGTGATTGAAGCACGGAGACTTCACTCCGTAGCGCACGGAGACGTGAAGGAATTTATTTCCACATGTAGAAGCTAAGGAAGAAACTCAAAATCAGATCACGTGTGAACATTCAAACAATGAAACCACATTTACCAGGTGCAGCATTGGTGAGATACCCAAAGCTAAAAGAGAGGATCTAGAAGCTGCATCAATACCATATATCTGCATGGTAAAACCAGGATAATTTAAAATATTTTGTAATTCAAAATTTCATCTTTTTGTTTTAGGTAAATTTATATATAATAAATATAATCTGAAATCACTTTTGAATGGGATTCTATGTCTAAATATTATGCATGGAACACAGGTTACGTATGTAATGAGAAACTAGAGTAGTAAATCTTTGAAATGTATAAAGAGGTAGAATGGAACAAAAACATTTTTTTATGTATGGTGTAAAGCATTCATATTTTTAACAAAAACCAATGTGAAATTAGTTCAAATGTATAAAGTTAAAATTTAAAATACGAAATGAATAGATTGTAAATAAAGGCACAAAAGTACAAACATTTATATACAACGGCAGTACGTATACAAAGAGGAAACAGTAACAGTGGACAACGTTTCTTATAATTTTCACATTCGCAAAAATAAAACCCCAGAACAACCTCTTCACCTGGTAGTCTCAAAAGTAATAACTTATTAACTGATAAAGTTCTGCAGGGGAGTTCTATACATAGACATATCAGGTGATGTTGTTTTTACTGCCTATTGCTACAAAAGAAAAGTTAGACTTCATTCATTTTTTTTTTAGCAATGAGGAGATTGGTTTGTCACTGATTTCAGAACATTTGTGAGCCTTCTTTTGTGGCTTTGAATCCGTTTCAACAATATCATCTGATCGAAAGAGAGACCTTTTTGGATTTGTTGTAGTTATTGCCGGGGTATTTTTGAACGTTTCAGTAGTTAAGGTATGTGTCTTTCCTTTGCTGTGTGTGTCTTTGTTATCTACATTTTCTTGTGATTCAGCTGAAGTGCTCACAGTAAGTATATTAGCCAAAGGATTTGTATCATTCATTGCAATTGAAGGTTGATTGTCAATCATTGTCCCTAAAGAGTGGAACGCAAAGATAATTTCAAAATGGCATTTTTGAAGGGTTTTGTCGCTTTTGTGTCACTTTCAAATAAAATGGCCAATCTGTTTCACTTTCAGTTTCCATAAAACTGTTGATGTCTACATTTGGTTCCTGCAATAGGACAAATTTTGAATAGCAAGTATTGAAGTGTGGAAACAATAATATCTAGGCGTGTTAGAACTTGGATTTTACCTTTTTAAAATGGGTCATTATGGCATTCCCAGTAGTTTGTAATAAAGTTTCTGCTTCCTTTCCTATGATGCTTGTATTTAACGATCCAGATTTGTCTTGT